GCACAAGCAGCACTTATGACTGCTTGGATGGTTTCCCACCTTGCAGACCTGGTAGCATGTACGAGGGATGATAACCTAGTATGGTGGGTGGGTACGCTCTGCAGGGAGGGTCGCTCTGTTACGTTGCACCAACTTGTGTTCATGTACTCACCACCCCTCGCTCATCGCCAGTGGTCCTGAGCCTGGCCTTTGAATTTGCGAGGTAAAAATAAAAAAGAACACTGCTGCCTTCTGATTGTTGCTACTGGTGTTGGCCACGCCTCGGTTGAGTTATTTAGCATTGCCGTAAACAACAACAACAACAGAAACAGGCCTTTCGCCTGTTCATAGGTATTTTAATAAAACAGTATACATGGGATAGCAGGAAGAAACTCTGCGATGCCCATGGCCTGGGTCGACGTGCATAACTGTAGCCGCCTTCGTCAATATCGAGGCTACACCGCACCAAAACCCACCTCGTCAACCAAACAAAAAGACACCAACTTGCTGCTCTCAGGATTGGACACACAACACACAAACATACAGTGAGACTCCAGACTCTCCATTATCAGCATTCGAGGCTAGCATCAAAAGTCTTCCTCGTCATGCGCCACTCATTGATTAAAGGTGATAGTAGTGCTCCGGGGACTGGTTATCATCTTCCTTATATAAACCTTCCCCCTAGATTGCCCTATTATCGTCCAACTCAGTAATAATCTACGGGAAATCTAGTTCACCATCCCAGAATTTACACCCCCGCCAGTCGTCACGTATTTGGTTACTCTCACCACCCCACCTCTTAGCCTACATACAGTGAACTGTCCCGTCTTAGGTAGTGGAACTATATTGGCAATCTTAGCTTGACTTTCATGACTACACTACTGAGTGCAAATCCATCCTTATCTTGTATTGCTTAACCACCCGATGTCGCGACCATAACTGTGGCAGTCATTCATGTTCCCCTATTATGGGACCATATCCTGTCTGATGACACCTATAACTCTCATCTCATTTCGTCCCATTTCATCTTCTCCCCAAATTTCGACCCGTGGTAATACGCGATATGGACGACCTGTTTGGCCGTTGTCCACTCCAACTGACCTGTGCATTATTAGCGAAGTTACCTCTAAACTGAGAAAAAAGAAATAAACAACAAATACTACGCGCGTTATTACATTGATTTTGCTCATCCCGCTGATCACAGGACTGCGCATTTCAGCCTAACTACCTCAATCACGACATCCGTCACGGGGCCATCTAGAAACCGAGGTATCTCAATGCAGTGACGGTACGGCACTGTGATACCCAGTTTGATAGCACACCCGCAACTGTTCAATTCCTGCTTTGATCGCGACCTCTCGCCCACACGTTCCCTTACCAGTAACTACGGTCAGTCTTCATTTGTCATCAGCCACAACCGGGAAGCGTTCATTGTAATCTGCCGAACCTTCTGTCGTATGTAAAGATCTCGGCGACTTTTATTCGAACTCCTCACCCAGTCAGTCAATTTTCGTACAGTTTGCGTGAACTCGTTCTCCCAAGTAAATTTTACACTCAACCCTGCTCCAGCAACAACACTAATGAGTCGCTCAAGTTTCACTGCACACTGTGATTCTGAGATTCCTACTACCATTTGTCCGTACTGCATATTCCCGCCTTCACCATCCCCACTTACGCTTTCCGTGGCCAGTCGACCAGCGCCGCAGGCTAGTGGCACACCCAAATTGAGTACGCCGGAATTATAGGGTTTTCCAATTTGCTGTTTTAATGGGTAGTTAGTCGAATCACTTTGCATATTCCTGTGACATGTTGGACGTAGCATTTTGTTTAAGTGAGCGAAATTTCGCCGATTTGCATTTTTTGCCGGTTTACGCGACATAAAACACGAAATCGCACTTTAGTATATTTTGGCGTTCCTCGGTGTTCCTGAAGAATAAAATAACGTCTTAAGAGTATTTAATGCAAATAACACCCTATACGATCAGTCGTAGACACCTCAGATCTAACAAATGGGATATTTTTGTTCGGCGAACCAGCTCGCAACACATTTTCCTCATGGACCTCACATTACATTAAGTGCAATAAAGTTAGATAACAGTACAAACTTGCAGTGGCAGTGCAAGGGCCATCTGTGGATGATCCCCTTTCCCAGATATGCATAACTAGATTGTAGATAATACAGTGTTACGAGATAGCTGTGGGCGTCTTTTCTATTATAACTATGAGGTTCTATAGGTGGTGACCACCATAAAGCGGTCACCATGATGATGGTAGCCGTTGTCACTCAACTGACTAAATATTGTAGCTGCTAGATCCGTGTCTATGTGCGACGATAACGACGGTTCCCCCATATGCGCGGCAGCCCAATCCAGTGAGAACCGACGGCCCCTGTACTCGTATCTCTACTAGTTTTCACTCATCTCGAATACCTGTTGTAACTGCTAGGCTCGCGTTTGTGTGCAACTTTGATAATGAGACTGCACCTATGCACAATAACATCATCCGACGTTCTTTTCTACCCTTTACTATACGCAATGACGCAACATCAGCTGGCTTTCGACAAGCAAACGCTTCATGCACCTAGCAGTCTTACGTGGTTCTAACAGCTTCAGTTTGTTAACCAACCGATCAATCTGCTTGTGCAAATGCTCTGTTGGTGATGGCACTGGCCTTGGAACCAGAGATAAAGGTACTCTTCCCTCCGATAGGTTGTATTCGGCAAGCCACCGTAGACGGATTGGAAATTAACCTAGGCAATGCATCTTCGATTAATCAACTTACCGCTTGGGAACGAGTGGCCTCTGAATACTGAAAACAGGTGTACACAAGGTAGCCACGTTGATTGGTAAGATATGCACGTGCAGGTTTTGGCCGAGGTGTTGACTGTCTGAGTACATTTGGTGGTTTATACCACAAACTGACTGTTACTACAACGGGCTTCTCACCTTGAAGCGATCTGTCTGGGTGTATATCATTCGGCGTGCATATTCCCATGTGCCTGAGAAACTGATCAGCGGCGTACGTCGTCATCCGGGAAACCACACGTAGAACGTAGATGTCTCCCTCCCGAATTTCTCGGCCGTCACAATAGTAAGTGGTGTGCAATTCATATTCGCGCATTAGCCATTCGCTGTGATGAGCGAACTTCTGGACGGCATGAGCGGATTGCCATGGGTTCATTGAATCGGCATTATAGGCCTTTGAGTTACAGTCACATGAATTCCTCGTCATCACGGAATTCGAAAGCGAGGTCTGCAAAGCGTATGCTAAGAAATTAGGCCCAATTTCTAGTGATGTGGAGCCAGTGGGCAGTCAAATAAGAGACAAAACTGGGATCCGTTCGCCTCAAGATCGGCAAAATCGTGTCGAAATCTATGGGATTAGTGTCTGGCGCACAGTCACTTACTCAGCTACATTAACAAAGCGAGCCATGCGGTGGAATATGTGCCGATTGCGGTTGGAAATCGTCTGCAAAAGTTGCACCAAATCAGTGATACGTACGTGCTTCCGGATGGCTTGCCGTGCGTGAAAATAGCACAGCATTTTATCGCAGCCGAATACGGATTTGGCAGCTCGCATCTGCGAAGTCATCTTGTTCATGACGAACGTTTTGACTTCATAGTGTTCACCCATGCCACCCTTGTACAAGCTGAACAGCTTACGCAATGGCGCAAAGTGCTCGCTTTCGACAAAGGCATACATTACGGGTCAAACGATACCCATGCCTTCCGTCACAAGGAATTTATAAATCTTGTGCCTCAACAGTGAATGTCAGGGGTTCTAAATTTATCTACCCAAGACGGTTAGTACCGTCTATAGCACCAACGTTTACAACGTCCGGGAAACGTCCAAAGTGTGCTATCTGCTGTGTTCAAGGAAAGCACAGGTGACCTTATCTGCCACCCTCCGATTTCGCCAGCAGCACGCGACCGCACTCCCGAAAGTTGGCTATGATGGATGACATGTCACCTAAGAAACCAACTAAAAGGTAACCAACGACCTGCTTAACAATGGGGGTAGACATTTGACGCGGTAGTTACGCACATCCTTGATAGTGAGNGTGCTCCAGGTAGTAGGAAGTAACCCTCAAGCAGTCATGTTACCGGCGAAAGTGGAACCTTGCTCATTTTGGAGTTTATGCGTACGAAAACAACGAAATGTTTCGCCTGGTACCCTTTCAGAATGACTTGAAATGCATTGAATGAAAAGAACTTTGACGAGTAATTCTCCACGAAATCATCATCCGCATTCACGTGCTCAGCCATAGCAGCCATTAAAATATGAATATCGTGGGCCTTGAGTAGGTTTAAACAAATTTCCTCCTTCGAACCACGGTTTCAGAGAAATTTCGGGTGTGCGTCTTGCCGCCGGCGTCGACCAGCAGCCCAAGGCCATGAAGCCCTGGTGGCGGTTTTTAGCTTTAGTTCAACTTGGTCGGCCATATCGTGGCAGATCTGCTGCCTCTCTACACCCATTATTCTGGCTCCACACTTCCTGCAGTTTGAAGTTTTTTGTTTGTCACGTTCTAGGCATTAAGCATTTTGTTATACCCTCAATCGTATTGTTTTTTTCCGCCACTTTTAAATACTAACGACCAGATTTTTTGTCACCTGATATGTTCTCCATAGGAGGTAAAGTGCCCTTGTAATTTTGGATCCCTACCCATGTCACCTCAGGTGTGCTGAAGTCTAATTCGTTAATGACCACTATTTACGTCACCGTCCCTTTTCCAAGAAATTCCCGTTAATCACAACCTCCATCAGTCATGCTCTTATTCTGACTGATACTATGATCATGCATGACGGTATGCTACCCACTAGTTGGGAATAAATATTATTATTATATGAGAGTTTTGCTTCTTTGTCCATTAGTCTGTAACCGTTCTCTTGGCGCGGGGGCCTTCTTCCTTTCACCGGTAGAACAGAAAATCTAAGCGAAAAAACAGGATGAGCTGACGAGGGAACACTTCCGCAATTGTTGTTAACCTGTAAAGTGTTACGTGACGAAACAGATTTTGTAGAATGACGGCACTCCAGGACCGTGCGGATGTCAGAGATAGCATAACAGAACTCGATATGACGGGAGAAAGAGGATTAATTCGAGAATTTGCAAGCCACTACTGGTTAGTAGCCACTAGGGAGTTCGGAGCCGATGGGGGCTGCGAGAGTTCTCCCGGTGTTGACAAGAATGTGCTTAATTAAGAGCGGGTGATAGACCAGGTTCAGGAACAGTTGGCCGAACCTTCAGCCAGCTGGGGAACAAAAATGAAGGGGGTTGCGTGGTTTTGGTTATGGAACAGTCAGGATGGCCAGCAGGACAGCAACACGATCTGCCACGGGCTTCCTAGCTTCGAGCAGAGTTCCATCAGGTGCACTGGAAACCCAACATACTATGCACAAATGGAACTCTAAATCTCTGGTGGCATTAGGAACTGACACATTTTCTACGGTTGATGGGACACATGATGCACTTGGGTCTGCATACAGTAAATGCACTGCAAACCTTGGGCTATGGCAAGTTCCGTTCATCGCTTGTATGCGCGAACTCTGGGATAAAATATATTAACCTGGATCTAAGGGCACACCAGAAAGTTGTTTGGGGCGTGCTGGAGAATAGGATGTCTGCAGAAATAGTAGGGGTGACACTGAATTGGCCAAGTGATTTTGTGGACCTCGCCTGCTCACCAGAGAGGGGCAAATGGTCTGAAAGTTGAGTGTCCTGTATGCGGGAAATAACCCTAAGCGGAATGCCCCAACGTTAATGACTATCAAACGCCTATTGGAAGATGGAAGAAGTGACATTTTCGTAAAGCTACGTAAAAGCAAGAGAGATGAGTGGATTTTCTCAAAATCTGTCGGTAGAAAGCTGGATTCGGTGAAAACCGGCATCGTTCTCACCTTCTCCATACTTGGATAGTTGACAGAAAATACAGGAGGCGGAGAGAGCAGTCGCAGTAAGGGATAAAAATCAGCACTATTGTCGGCTGCTCAAAAATAAACAAAGAAATTTTGGATTGACGCACACCATAGTAAAAGTAAAGTAGCTTAACCCAGCCTAGAGTTTAAGATTGCTTACACATGCAAATGTGTACTAAAGGCGTATTCGGCACGGTAGCTGAGGGAGAGTTCTTGAGGGGATACGCAGAACTTGGCGCACCCGAGATCCGGGGTCTCTTCTGCTCCGCAGAGCAAATCTTGATATTTGGCGTCCCCATAAAATGACCTGACCTCGTCTTATTGGAATATTATCATCTGCGAAATCCTGCTGGCTTTCCAAAATGTAACAACTCGCATACAGTCATGAACTTCCCTCTCGTATTCGCACTCTCCCATTGTACATAAGAAAGCTTCCGTTCTTGTGGGGCCCAGTTATAATTCATCAATCCTACGACAGCAGCCCTGACCCACCCTCGGTACTCGGACAACTCGATCACCTTCTCGCCTCTAGTTAAATGTCTTCAGCCGAAATTTGGCTTATCACCACTTCATATTTCACAGGTATGTTACTGCTGTCTAAGTCCAAAGGTTACTGCGTTGATAGAAGTAACCATAATTCTAAAATACCCAGTCAATGCATCAAATCGTCCAGGTGTCACCTTCCGGTTCTCACTTACTCCAACCACTAATCCAGAATTGAAGTGCCACCCTCTTTTCACACTGAGGAATTGAATTTCAATCCCGTATATGGCGCTTTTTAAGGGTTCCCACAATCGCACGCCACCGACAGTCACATGAACTAATGCCACAAAGGGCGTCGTGGACTACATTCAAGATTACAGGAGACACATGTGAGTAAAACATTACCTTCAGTTGCCCTTCTATTTTGCGTAACCTAATTTGCTAGCTATATACGGAGAGGTGAATAAGTTCAGACGCAGATTTCAAATATAGATAATTATCCGCGTTTGAAATTATGGGTAGAGTTTCGGCAGAAACTGGATAACGAAATTTAGAGCTTAGGTTGTATTAGTTCGGGTAGACGGTGCTTCGAGCGCTGCTTGTATTTAGTAGCTGCATTCATTTTTCCATCCTCGCGCAATTCCTGGTATCTCACCATTTCAAACACTGTGAGTAAATGCAATCAGAAGAAGCCTTCGTGAGTGCAGGGAGGGATGGAAAACATGCAGCTGCTAACGGCCCAAAGCGACTACCACATGGATCCACGCCGCAATTTGCCAGTTCGTGATAGCCGGCAGGCAAATGAGAGACCGAAATGCTCACCATACATAGGCGCAGTAAGGATACACCAAACAAATTTTAAGAAACAATGGGTAGTTCACAAACCACTTTAATATGAGCGCAGTGGGGGGTCGAAATAGCTGTATAGTATATGCCAATCAAAACAGATTCCCATGGATTATTGCACAGGATCAAGGCCCTTGCCCACGCCCCCAGTCAAGTTTGTTCATATCGTTAGATGGCTTTCGTTTATCTGAAAGGCTTTAGCGAGAAGGGCGTACAGTGCCGCTCTCTATGTTCAGAAATTGAAAGTGTTTTGAACCTTGTTCTAGATACAGAATGGACAACCATCGGACAAAGGTTATTCATCGAAATATTCGGGATGAGCAATATTGTTGCTCATTAAAATTGGGCTTGAGGAGACTCTTACCATGAATTCGCCTTGTAATAAATGGTTAGCCTGTAGAGAAACTTTCGGCCAAAGCTTGTTTAAACGGAGCATAAGTTACATCCTCTCGTCCTCTCGGAGGTGAAAGTACTCTAGGAGGAAGGGTGCAGGCACCCAAAAAATGATTTCATCAGCATAGGGTTTGGGGATAGCAACCATCTTGGAAGCGGGTCGTTGGACGCTCACAACGAGAGTATCGCCCCTCTTGTATCCCGAGTAAACAGATTGGTTGGCGTATTCACGAGAACGCCCGATTGATGCCACGTAGGGTACATGAAAGCCCATGTTAGCGATACAGAACAAGATGCGCCGAATCATCCACAGAACAGTGGATGTCTTTTCAGTCGATATTTTACTGGCACAGTGAGGTGCAACCAGATACCTAAATCCTTTTAAGCTTTCATCTTTTTGATATCTTCTGGTTCATTCTCACCATGCACGAAAAGAGGGTTCGCTCAGTGTGAGCCGACTTTAAATCTGAAGGTTCGTCGGGGGGAGTATCTCATTCAAGCATAGAATTTCTCTTTGAAGCCCATGAGAACCGACTTGGTATAGCGGTGGAACCTGTGGGACGTTATCAGATGCTTCTGAAAAGTCGAGAAAGATGTCCCCCTTCCTCCGACGGTTGTACACGCTCCTTCTCGAACCCAATTTAAAGCACTATTAGACATTTATTTATGCGAATCCTCGCGCTGGCGAGCATACTGCCCCGCGCTGAGAACATAAAGAGCAGTGCTACACCCTTTTTTCACTTGTGCCTTTCAGGTGAACGACAGCCACTGACCGACAAGAACAAAACCGACCCGGGAAACTTGGGAAAAAGCCTCGATCCTGTGTATCAATCCGTGAATCCGTGATATGGGTATTTCGTCCACGGCTTTTGCTTAGCTGTCCGTAAATGATCGTCACGCAAGAACGCTTTGTGTTGCGTCGGGAACATCAATTGTTTGGCAGTGAGGGGATTTGAAATAACCAGCCTCGGTATGCATCCAATCACCGAGCAACGTATGCTAATGAGTCTGGCGGGTCTGTAGCTACCGGACGGTAGGCAGTCACCGGACCTGTTGATTGCTGTGGCAGTCCCTTTCTTCCATTAGGAGAAAAGGGTGGTCTACTGCCTGAAAAACAATAGGGGGAACGCTTTCACAACCTGAGTGACATTTCCTTCGGGATCACGGATTGATACACAGGATCGAGGCTTTTGCCCAGTTTCCCGGTGTNGTCGTTCAGCTGCTGTCATTCACCTGAAAAGCTCAAGTTGCTCGCTGAGTTATTGGAAATTGAAAGTTGACCGAAACCTGCTTCGTGAGCCCAGTGCTGAACAAGCAATTTACTCCTGCAGGTTTCATGGACTTCTTCAATCACCTGAACTTCCCAAAGGATGTTCCTCTTGTTTTGCTAAAGCAGCTTAGGCATCGCGGCAGGGCGCCAGGGACGAAGTGCTTTTGCGTCTTGCAAATGGATCGTGTTTCGACGTTTACAGAGCCCTTAGTAAGGTTCACAAAAGATTCTGTGCACTTCATCAATCGGTGTACTAAACCAGATCGTAAAGGTATTAGAATTTTGGACTAATGAACAATGCTATCCATAGAGTTTAAGAAGAATGCAATTGCCACTGCAATCGGTTTCCTCGCCATGGGAATTCTGGGCTTCATTATCAAATTAATTTTCGTCCCCATCAACAGCATCATAGTTGGAAAGTGATTATTTTTTCGTTTGCTCTGTATTTTGGACTTTCGCAATATTGAATATGTGAATATTGAATTTCACATCCGACAATCCTCAGGGGTCTTGTTATCTCTTACAATATGGGCTTGGGAATAAAACGGCTCATTAGCAAAATTAGTCGATGTGACACCGTATGCTCTATCGGTTCATAGAGGCCGTGCATCTATTGTGCAGCGCGGTTTAGGATGTGATTCCTTTTTCGTGCTCTGAATTACCTGAAGAAATGTCGTTAGCACTTCACTTTTTCGGCGACTCTCCGATATTCGGGCCGACTCAGATTTATCTGCTTTTTTGCCTACGTCATGGCGATCAAAACGTGTCTGGTTTTACTGCACGGACAGTGTTTGGCGCACCATTGAATACGCCAATCCGGAGGTTCTCTATGAAGAGTAACTGAGATGTATCAACTGTGGTAATGGCTGCATTTTCTCAGACATGTTCAGTCCAGTCTGCTGAACAGCCCGCCCTGATCTGGTGCTGTGACTATTAAGAGTGCGATCACAAACTCAAGCTGAAACTGTTTTGTTCAGATGACTACTCGTATAGTGGTTCTCCGTGTGAGTGGTCCATATCGCTTGCAGCGGCCATTGTGTTTACAAGGATTACTAACACCGATTCGTGTTTAAACCAATGTGGGACAGTCATGAGCTGTAACAACTCTATTGACATACACTCGTGAAGAGTAGTCAGCTTAAATGCAAAGAAGTTCAGGAGGACGGCGATACCAACCACTTGATTCAACTAACCGTACCCCTGGGATTCCGTTGAACGCGGAGTGGCCCGGGTGTCCACGTTAAGGCGTTGGGGGTCCTCAAGCTGCATAGATATGTTAATCCTCCAGTCATTTATGATGGGTGATTGATTCCAGGAAGACACTTAACCAGAGATGACAACTATGCTATTATAGCATGAATCCACTGCTTGCCAGATCTCTATGAGTTGAGGTTATTCAGCTAAAGGCGCGGTAACTCCACTGCCAGCCGGAGGCCGCATAGAGTACAGCAGTAATTTTAGTTACCATAGTTCATTTCACCAGTGATATGGGCTTCGTACTTCTTGGATACGGGGGTGCAGCGGACTTTCCTCTGAGAAGGGAAGCAAATAAGTGGAGGTGAGAGCTTGGATGCATGCCAACATTGAGCAACGTCTGCCGATGTCTAACACCTGACATGTACTTGGCGGTTCTCATCCGGTTCGAGGGAACTCCCCTATCAAGCTGTCAATTGACGCCTACCGACTTATTTCCAACCGCATGGTTTCGCGAGTACTGCCCGAGGAAGCACGCGAGCAACCCAGTGCAACCTTTCGGGTGGGACCAACTCACCTAACATCTGCGACCTATTTACCCCCAAACGATCCGGTGAACTTTAGCGTTACTGATATGATGTCCCCACTAGATGTGGACAATGCGTCGACGGTACCATGGGTCAAATAGTGAAAAGTTTTGATGTCCGCTAACAGCGGCGACCTTCCGACCAATGTGGAACGCACTTGGAGATTTTAAACCGGACACTTTAGTGATAGAATGATTTCACGTCTACGTCATAGGTGGTGCAAGTTAACAGGACGAAAATACCATGTCTAGCTAAACCACAGATCTCAGTCAGCTCATTTTTTAAGCAGGCTTGGACGGCAGCATGTTGAACGCATAAAGTGCGCGCCACATCCCGAGACAGGGCCATTTGTGCTCAAAGTTGCTTATATTCCAGAGGCTTCAGATCCAAGGACAGTTGGCTTTTCTTCACCGATATCACCGCTTCACGGGTTGAAGGTGTACCCTATCTGGACTCCCCATACCAAAATCTCTGCTGGTGGTCCACATGCATTTTTGCCAGCGGCCCGTCTTCGAGGATCAGGTTTACGTGGCTCATGCCTGGATAGACGCACTACGAAATGTCTTCCAACAGATGTCTTTGGTGCCACACTAGCCTTTTATCGACATACGTTGCTGTGGGTGATGACATTGTCGTATTCGAGCACTTTTAATTGAGAGGAGGAGGTCATCAGATGGAGAAACCTAGCGCTTGCCCAGATATAAGTAAAAGTCCGGCGCATCCTTTGTATTCATTGATCACCTCGATCTGAGAACGGTTAAATTCAGTTGTGCCGGCTTAAACCTAGCGCTTGCCCAGATATAAGTAAAAGTCCGGCGCATCCTTTGTATTCATTGATCACCTCGATCTGAGAACGGTTAAATTCAGTTGTGCCGGCTTTCCTGGAACAATCAGATTTTGTTTTTTTTTTTATGAAGAAATGCCTTCAAGTGAAGACAGCATCTACCGCAAGCGTGCAACATACAGGTCATGGTTTGTATATCCGGTCGGAGTGGCAGCCATACACGTGTACTCACTTCGCAGTTCATTAAATGGATATGCATCCCACAGCAGACCAGAACACGACGCAACCAACTGAGTGCCCTACTCCGTTGGTTAAGTGAGATTTAGGACGTAAGTGGCACACCAAGCCTGTTCTTTTGATGAAGGCGCCATCACTGCCTTGTGGTCGCTGCTGAGACATCGGCGCTCCGGTCCCATATAGGAAACTAGTGGTCGGTATGTTCATTCGCTCGCCATTCATACATTCTTTGAGTGTAGCATCTTTTTATAGGTAGAATGACACGGCACCGAAGCGCCAGTGTCCTCGCCTGGATTTACTGCAGGTGATCATAATGTAATCATAGCTAGACGCAAAACTCCAGGTGATATTAGGGTTTTTACGTTATCCCTGAAGCAAGATAGTACTGAAAATCAGGGTCGAGGCCGACAGCCTGTTCGAGGGTTCTGTGTGTGGCCCTACGATGGCACATCATAGTGGAATCCATACATGGGGGCTACGGCTGGTGCCAACTCCTTGGATCATGAAGCTGCTGCTCTAATTCGGCAGCTCAAATGTATTGTGTACAGTGACTCAAATCCTTGAACTCTGCATCCTGTGGTTCGATGATTGGGGACTGAGTCCAGTGACCAAAAACGTCTTCGACTCGACCCACACTTCTGCATTCCGATTGCTCCTGTCCGGGCTTTGACAAGCTGACAGTATTTTAATCATCATGCTTCATAGCTGAATGGTAGCGATGGACCTAAAAGGCTGTGGAAGTATATACAAAGTTTGAAATTAGTCTTCAGACTAGACCGAACACCCAGGTGGGTCCAGTCGAGGGCCTCATGTCCAGCCGTATTGTCGTATTTCCTCCAAATCCACGTAGTTCTCTGATCAAACCTGAGGGGATAGCTGTCACTCGACGGGTGCAGTTCCCTAGGAAGTTTCATTCGTGGAACTGGCTGGCGTAGAGGATTTACCGCGTAAACCAGGGCCTGTTTCCCAAGTATTCCCTAATCTAGCCACTTGTGCGATGCTATAGGTGTGTAGTTTGAAGAGCGATGAAACGTGGCCCAAGTCGTTTCTCGTATCGGTGAGTCGTTGTTAGGTTTTAGCTTTCTGGTTCAGTATTTATTCCCTACTTGCTTGAGGCTATTACGCGACCGTGAACAGTTCTCCTGCCAATGGTTTGACAGGGTACCACCACTGCAAGGTATTTTGACTGGACACCCATAACCCAAGAGTGGGTTATTTGGTTGATCGCATGTGGAGACATGAGGCGACAAGACTTACACCATCTACCCTGGTAGCAACTACTCAGCTTTCGGATCCTCTGGGACATAGCGTGGATGGCCCATATATACGCGGTAGCCGTCTTCCGGCGTGAGCTATTTATTTAAAAAGCAGTTTACATCCGTACCTGAAGAGTCCGTCGCTCTTTCCAATTCAATGAAACCTTCAAGGGCTATACAGATCATCCATGGTGCCTGCTGTGTTGAAAATTTGGCTGCGTGGTATTGTGCAGTAGTGAAACGCTACGTTGGTGTTACTGCCAAGAATAACTATGAGGGTCGCTAAATGAACCTGACGCTACTCAGTTTGAGGATGTCGTGCATCAGACCGTTGTATTCCGTTTTACGGTCTACTTTCCAGATTAACTTAAGGTCTTTCCAACGCTTCCGTGCAAATGAGCGTCACTTTCCTCTAAATTCACTCACCCCATTTGCCGTGATCAGGTGCCTCTACTGATGGTATTTCGCAGTGTTTAGTTGGCACCCAAAGAACTCATCCCCTGTCACCGCTAACCGTGTGTATGCTAGAAAACCTGGCGGTATTTCAGCTCGTCCTTCGGGCAGCATGGTAACCATATATCAGAAGGATGCCACCGCTGAAGCGCTTGACTGCTGATATAGGGCAATGGGGGAGGCAGTTTCCCTGCGACCTAACAGGTCTGTTAAGACGTTCACGCTTTATTTTTGTGGGTTCGAATACTGGCATTCATCCAGTGGTTTAGTATCAGTAGTCAGAAGTATGGTGAAAACACTCCACGATACCACTTTCCGCAAGTGCACGCATTCACAAGATTAGTCTTTGGAAATCCTGGTTGCGAGGCTTGTTCCGCATTCGCGTAGTGTGCCGTTTCATACGGAGCGGTAAAACAAAACATCTTTGGTAGATTCCTACTTTACAATCTAGTTACCCGTTAAGATTCAATGCAATCAGATTCTATTAAACATACGAGGGATTCGTGTTTGGGGAACTCTGATGAAAACTGCTTGATGTGTGCGAAATAGCAGGTGGTCTCGGTGAGTAAAAAATGTGTGCGTTTAAAGTAATTCGGTGGGATAGTGGTGACACGTTCACCTCGATGGAGCTTCACTGCCGCGCGTCATATGTACGGCACGATCAAAGATGTTCTACTGATGGAATCAAATAAAAGCTAAACTCGCGTCCAATGCTTCCATATTGGTGTGTGGGCTTCGAATACAATGAAACTGATATGGCCACGGAAGGTGTCGGTTCGAAAGTCGCAGACCTGTTGGTCTCACAGGAACCCACTGTGTGAGGTCAGTTCACTAGGTGAGTTTGAACATGGCTTCTACGGACGGCTCTGGAGCAGATTGCTAAGATTTTTATAGGCACTGATAATAGTGCACCGAAATTACGCCAGCGATATCCTTTTCAACACACTGTCACAGTCGACGCGTTTCCAACTTCTAAGAGGAACCTTTTCTCTGGATATCTGTCAATGTCTAGCCCACTGTTACTCTGCAAGCGTAGGTTACTCAACCATTTTTTTCAGGTTATGATGCAGACGGATCTTGACGAATTTCTGGTATCCATTTCTACTTCATCAACAAGGCAGCACACTATTCTCGCTGGGTAGGGGCTCTTAGCGGGTTCTCCATAAACAGACGCGGATTGAGGGAGCGGAATTGGGTCCGCGAGCGGTATTGTGCGACCGTGATCAGAAGCTAGCCAACAGACTAAGCCGAGCGTGCTATCAGTATCAATAAGCTTTAAGAATATGGCTGCATGGGTAATGCTAGCAGGGTGTAGAAGTCCCGTCGATGCAGACGTTATCGGATGCAGATCCAATAGGTGGGAGGGAATACCTTGCGGATCGTACTGGTTAAACCAACGTAGAAGTGATTTCGTGCTTCTTATCACAACTTAAAGGTGACGCCCACTTCGCGTTTATCATGCATAAGTACCATATGGAATTTCTAGTGACCAGCGGGGAGAGGAGGGAGCATTCTGGGAACAGAAGATGAAGAAAGATGTACCTGTGGACGCCGCTTGCCAGCTTCATCGTGATTAATCTCAGGTTACAATTACCAAGAGGGGCTGAAGTTTTAAACAGCTGGGAAGCAGCGGTCTGATACAGTTGCCGAAGGTGTACTTTGCTCTAATTAGCTTCACAGCAGCTTCCTCCAGAAGGATTAGTCGACCCCAAGAATATCCCGGGTCGCTGCTTCGCACACAGCACAATTGACAGCAAGGTCCGAGTGCATTATTCAGTCTCTTGCACGTTTTGACATTCAACAAAATGATGTTCGTTCGGCTGTAGCACTTTTTCGGTGCCACCCGAAGGAAGCATGAGGGTTGAGATACTGCCAGGTTGCCCAGGCCTAGACAGAAAAAGTCGGGATCGAGAGGTCGGATTCGAACCGCGGACCTTTCGGTCCGCAAGTTCGCGCCTTTGTCACTGAGCCATCTCAAGTTACTAGGACGTTGTAGGTTACGCTGGTTAAGGCATGTACTTGGCATGCCAGAGAACCATCTGCTCAACCCTGTGCTGGGTAGAAGCGACTAAGAGATGAACAGTCTACGACCTGGCAACGAAGTATGAAAGCATTAAACTGTAAACTCAATCAGGTTGACAACTATTGCCCCCCTGGATGGGGACCCCGGGGACCAACTGAACAACTGTTGCTGACACTGGCGGACATATCGAAACCATAGTTAGTGGACAGATTACTAAGAAAGATGTGTTATTTTCGGGAATCCGATATTTGTGGTGTCCAGATGTTTATCCACGACTCAATGTGGCAATCTGTTGTATGAGTGTTTCTAGACGCAGACGGTTGAACGTGGGGAGTGGTAACTTGTTGTTGAGGTGGTCGGTAGTCGCTTCCGAGAGTTGCAAACACTCTTCGGGGAATTCCGGTGAGTCCACACCGGAATAATTTCGCCAGAACAAGAGAGCGAGCGTTCAAACGAGAGTGGTGTGAATGTGAATAAAAATGTAGCGATCGTTTGTAGCTTCCACTCAACACAGGTATGGGCGCAAAGAGCTCTGCGAGGTAGACGGTCTTACGGCATGTGGAGTATATGTCGTTACCAGCGTAACCTATGGAGCGTGAGTAATTCATCCATAGCTAGAGAGTTCTTTCTTCCTATGTCCATCTGGCGTACCTAGCTGGTGTGCAATCTGAAGGAAGCACGAGAGTTGAGATGCTGCCAGGTTGCCCAAGAGATGTCGGTATTGGGTTTTAGCTACCGAGCTTTCAGTGAGTAAATCCGCGCTTTAACCACTGAGCTATCTCAAACCTTTTTTTTTTAACTTACTTTGGCCCAAGTTGCATGGCAGTCAGTCAACCATAGTTACCGCTGCGATGATACGTCGTCAATCAGTCAGAATGTTACAGCCATCTTCATCGTCACCAATGAAGACATTGTTATCCTGAAATATTATCTAATTGCGTATATCTGGCGGTCACAGGATGAAGGACGAAAACATCAGAATAAGTGTATTGAAGTATCAAATATACAGTTTCTCAGAATCTTTTGGTTTAAAGGAACATGGAATAGTTTGAGTGCATACTAATATCATAAAACTGCAACCACGTATTTGCCCCGGAGAAACCTTTCTACAAATTGGCATTCTTTCCGTAGCTCATGAAATGCGCTTGCCAGCTCGTTGCGTTCTTTGGTATGACCACCAGAGTTCAGGGCTACAGCCTGCGAATGAGAAGAGGAACCAATTATATGTAACTGAAATAAACTGATCGAAGTCGACAGATGAAGCTCCGCAATGTACAGGGTCGTATTTGAGAATGACTATCACTGGGGGGTTCAAGAAGACAGTAGTCAATTTGAAATTCTTAGCAAGCCGGGACTCAAACTAACAATGCTGAGAAACCGGGATGATGAGTGTTGTCCACCCTACGTTGAAATTCGGTGAGCGCTACACAAGATGAAGATAGCTGTTCAAGAAAAATGTATCTACCATGACACTATAGTACAGGTTGTATCGGTAGCTAATATTCAGTGATAACGGTAAAGACAGGTTGACAAACTACGGGTGCTATACTCATCTCGAGAGCAGGACAGTGCAGATGATGACCTAACTCTAGCGTTTTTGTTCCAATTTTTCTATTTCAACATTCCGTTTGAATACAGGATAAACACGGCGCTTCGGTTTTCCGGTCAACCCAGTTTGAGACAACCAATTTCACGTTCATTTAATGGACAACGAAAGGAGATGTGCGAACGCGTGTACATGTGGAAGCTCTGACGACGAAAAGAGTAATGTGCGCCTGTGGTACACAGAATCCTGCATGGATTAGTGAAAACAAAACAAAGCGCGATGGCATTTTCGGTTGCGGTCCACACACATCTGTACACCGAGTTTATTCTAACACGATAATCGACAGCACAGCATCGAGATTCACAAGCGATGCTTCGCTGCCGTACAACCTTATTCTGAAACGTGGATGGGGACTTAGTATTAGCTTATCACAATCATTCCGAGGTTCCCGCATCTCCCAGACGCTCATTCAGGCAATCTGGATAAAAATTGAAGGGAAAAGTGCGACTGACCGATTAGCGGTCATATCTTGGAGCGTCTCCAACCAGACGCACTAGGGATCATGCGGTCCCCATCCTAGATGCCACATCGCACCGACAGCACCCAAACTTCTCGAAATCCCTTTCACATCTCTCCGCCAAATCATAGGTTGCTCTCGAATTAGGCATGGAAAGCAGCACTCTCTTCGGTAGACGATGGTTCTGCATGCACAGTACATGGTCTAGCCAACGCGCGTTTGGTGCCAGACACGTTCTTCGACTGAAGTTCCTGTTGCACCAAAACCACAAAGTGGTACGTGTAAGCACTGCAGCCTCTGGATATGAGTCCACACAAGATGGAAGCCAATGTTCGAAGCTTTTCGCGACTTCCAGGCCACATGAGGCTCGCTCGGGACCGAATAAATTGTGTTGAGCGTACCCACGGAAGGGCAGGCGTTCCATCCACCTACGATTCCGTGCGCATTTTCTGTTTGAGAACCACATCAGCGATTCAGTTACGTTTGACTGTATCATGTGGTAGGTAAAACAAAACAGAAGCTCACCAACAAAGCCAGTGTATCCAGTAGCCGTCTACGATCGTCCACAGAGCGATAGAAAGTTAGTGCACCATAAAGCTGTTGTAAGTGCGATTGGAGAACTGAAAAACGAACAAAACAGAGGACCCTGAGTAGGAGTTTGGGCAACTTTTGGAGCGGACAGGCAAAGAAGAACAGGAGAAACAGATTGGACTGCGCTGGAATTGAGTAGGTCTATTCGGCACATGCATATTTCACCTCAACTGTTTCACTGTTTTCTTAGCCACTTAATCAGCTAAGCCCCCTCTAAGACTGCACTACACCCCTACAAAAAGCTACCCCTATGTTGTTTTGGGGGAGCAAGTTCTACGGCCAGAAAATCCTCCCATTGCTCATGATCCCCGCTTGAGGAGGTAGACTTGGTGATAGTTTTTTAAGTCAGTGCGAATGCTGACACTTCTGGGACTGTGAACTTGAAAGAGTCCCTCGCATACAATGCTTTTGTATAATCCGAAATATACTGTCAAAGGGAGTCCATTCAGTCTCCAGTCCTAGTAATATCAACATTCATGAGAGCTGGAGATAGCTCAGCGGTTAAGGCGCGAACTTACTGACCGAAATTTTCGTGGTTCGAACTCTGCAAGAAATAAGGCGCGAACTTACTGACCGAAAGTTTCGTGGTTCGAACTCTGCAAGAACTCTGAAACTCGAATGCTTCTGTCTGGGCCTGGTCAACCTGGTACTGACTCAGTTTTCGTGCTTCTTTCGGGTGGCACCAAAAGGATGCTAGAGCTGAACGATTATGAGTACTACACTCACGAGCTCAAAACTGAACCGTTCAAGTCGAGGACTAATTATCTCAAGTTCCGGGAACTAGGACTACCTGAAGTACCTAATCAAATTCGAAATACCACGATTTCCGAAATGTCTGTTTCAGCTCTCGGAGAAAAACATTACAACAAAAGTTCCCTTTCCCACTGAACTATAGGTACCGGGCGACTGTCACATCAAATGGTCGAATACACCAGCGTTACCGCACAATTATTCCGCGAAGCCAGAAATGACTTATTGATTTGAGCTTAATTCACCATCATCGTCTGTAATTACCACGTAGTTGTCGTACAGTGGTAATAGCTGTCACAGTTTTGTCCGTCGATGATTTGGGAAGATGGGGTAGGTAGCTGTGCATTGGACGTGGGTGTGCAAATACAGGTCTGTCAGTGGACGTGTAAGTGGGGGGTTGGAGAAAGAGCTATACATTGAAGGCAGTGGCTTGAATGCTTGGACTGCGCCATGTCTGATAATGTCTCTAGCCATTGATGTGCCCGTCTCGGAAGGAGGGTTGGAAAAGGAGCTATGCATTGATATAATGTCTTGATAATGTCTCTGGCCATTGATGTCGCCCGTCTCGGGGTCCCCATCCAGGAAGACGGCAATGACCATCGCAGTTGAGTTTGCTGGTAATGGGTTTTACACTTCGCTGCTAAATCACTGTTTAACTCCCTGGCTCATTTTCACCCTTCGCGTGGCTATGCGAAAAGAGCGCTTCGAGGAATTCAGTCGACTGGCATACGCAGCAAGTGGCCAAGCCAGCACAACCTATGCAGTGTGATCAGTTCATCTATCGAGGGTGAGTTATTTCTCCCGAATACCATTCGATGTACTTCAGAATTGCTGATCCGGTGTTCCCACCAGATTCAGGCAATGCTCCGAAGACATCGATGGTCAAACACTGAAAGCCTTTTGACGTCCTCGGCGCGCAGCGGCCAGGTTTCTGATCCATATAGTAATATGGAGCGCACCGCAGCATTGTAAACCCGACCCTTGACAGAGAAACTGATGTCACGCCTACGCCACAGGGGACGTAGGTTCGCAAAAGCTGCTCTGGTCTTCCCAATCCGGATGGAAATATCAAGTTCGTTAGATGGGTCACCAGGGATTGTCCCTCTTGTTTGAGATGGGCTGGATAGAGACCGTCTGGTCATGGTGCATTGTCACGTTTCAGTACCGACATTTTGTACTTTATTTCTTCTTCCGACGAACGATCAAGGTTTACATTCCATTCATCCGTACGGACAACTTTCACAAGCTGTGTTGCAGGAGGCCAGCTAGATTGTTCTTCGAAGTGTTCGACGTTTTCGCGAGCGAATTAATGAGCCATCTTTTTCTTTTCACTGGCCGTTGCTCTCCTAGGGCCAGTCGATCGTAGCAGTTGATATAGGGCACGGCTGTTCCCGAGAGCAAAGGCCTTCTCCATCTCCCGAACTTTCGATGCCCAACAGAGCTCTCGGTCTTTCCATAGGCTCTTCACTATTTGGCGTCTGAGGGATGTGCGCGCGCCGTCGTACTCGTTGCCTTCTGGTACGAATTCCCTGGGATACTCGTTGCCTTCTGGTACGAATTCCCTGGCATCGAGCTCGACGATATTTAGTGGTCTTGTGGTCGAATCGGAGACGTCGAACAGATAGCACTGAACGCCGCTAACATAGCTCCTTTCACATTTTGCCACGCTTCATCCATATGGTCACTTCCACCAAAGTATCGGATTACTGTAGAGGTTTGTTGATGTAGCTCAGATCGATAGCGTCGACCTATAGTAGTTCTTCGAAGATGGTCGATTGGCATGCTTCTCGCTGGCTTACAAAGGCTTGAAGCGAAACAAACTGTCAGGCGTGCACGCACCATGACTTGATCGGAATCAAGTTGCGTGCTCCAGACGGAACGGTAGTCTTGAACCGTAGCTCTCCAATTTCGCGACACCGGTGGTCCATAGCCATGTAGTTCAACTGGGTCCACGGTTGATTTGCAGTTGGTGGCTGTGAGGTTGCGCATGTTTATGCTGAAAGTTCGTACTTGCCAGAAGCAGTTCATGATCTAAACACAACTGAATGAGTCGATATCCGTACCAGCATCCACTCCAAATCGACCACCAAATGTGATTCCAAGGAGCTCAGACGATCGACTTGGGCATGCACATCGCCCCGAAGGATCACAATGGCAATACGTCTTGCTCGACGGATGAGCGCGGATAACTCTCGATAGACAGTATCCTTCTCCGCCTCAGAACTGCAGTCAGTTGGGGCATAAGCGGACACTACAAACAAGCACCGCTTTTTATGCCAAGAGGCGTTGAGCTTGATCGAACTGGATAGCCGGACGGCGCAGAGACGACTGTTTACTGGGATCCAATCCAGTAAAGCGCGTCCAGCTCTGGGGCTGAGTGCAACTCCCACGCCATATATTCCACGAGTCATCGCTTCTGGGTTACCAGACACACGGAGAAAGAAATGTGAAAGAGCTGCGTTCTGAGATGCATCACCACGCTCGAGCCTTGTATACGTGTCTCGGAGACACAGCATACGTCAATTTCAAGTGAGTACAAGGTTTCAGTAAGAATTGCCTGTTCGGCAATTTGACATAGAGCAGGGACGTTAAAAGCTCCTATACAGAAAGGATATCGTGGATTTAGAAGGGTGTTATTTTGTTTATTGTTAGTAAGCAGCGAGGAGCATAAAGCCCTTCGGTCAGATGAATTACAGTCAAATGGCCCAGCGACGTTTGCTTGTGCAGTGGGAAGGGGTTGGGGAGGGAAGTCGGTGGACACCGAACTGCGCGGGCAAATGATTTTTTCCCGTCTCCCCGGGCCGAAGAAGGGGGCTTAGTGGGATACCCCACCTTGAGCCTCTGACTCAAAAGTCTGACTCACGAGGCAGCGCAGAGTAGAGTTTTCTTTGGGGACCCCTCCCGTAGCCGATGACTCAACAGTCTGACCTGCTCGGCTTTATGGGATTGGCCTAACCCGAGGGCGCAGGAATAAGGTATTACTGTCTCATTCCTAATGCGGCTGCGCACAGCAGGTGACTTTTGAGCAGCACCGGACTCTTTGGTCCTACAATTATGTCGACCGTATTGAATAATGCACCGACCACCACGGTCAACCGTTGAGCGATCGGAGTGAGCTGTTTTTAGGGCCAATCTGTTCTAACCCGTCCTTCCTCGGGGGGAGGGGAGAGAGGCAGCATTGCCACTTCCATTAATATGGACATGCCGGTCGCATGAGGGAAACTGCTCACTGTCTTCACATTCCCATCACAGATAGCGCCTTGTAGCACGATTGCCCGTGGTCCGGGGTCTCACTGCATTTGGTCTGACTGCTCCCTTTTGACCTTCCTTGCATGATTGTACCTAGTGGAACGTAGTTTTCTAGCCAATATAGCCCGCGGGATCATTGCAGCACTCATGCCCGAACACCACATCAAAGTGGCAGCTTTGTGAAGCGAGCCATGAGAAACAAAACGGTAACAAACTCTCAGATACCTAATGTCCCTTTCAAAATGAGTAAAACAATGTCCTCTTAGCACCTATCTACCCGAACTGCATTTGCCAAAAAATGACGGGTCAGCAAGACCTGGAGGGAGGATAATCATGTGCGAGTTGCAAAGAGGAAAGCGCGATCAAAAAGAAATTGAGAACCAGTAAAAGATGACCTTGGAATAGTGAGAAGTGCACAGATAGGGGGTTGCTACCCAGCTAGCGGCCATAGTAGCCATTAGACGACCTGTTACCGCGGACTGTCGTGTACCATATTTTCAAAGAGAGGAGATTTAGGAGGGGGTATGCGGTTTAAGCCGTTGGGCGGACCCACAGTTTAGCTAATCCAAGTGCCAAGGCCATCGAACATGAGTTCAAACACTAAGGTGTGATCATACCAAAAAACAATTAGATACAGAAAGTGGGGATGCACTTACAATTACCAAGTTCGGTCGAACTACGAAAAGTCCGAAGCCTAAGGCGACTGGCATAGGTTAAACAACGCCACTGTGTTGAGTGGTCCGATTGATGCAACGCTTCACACAGAACCCGGTCAAGTTCTACTGAGGGCTCGGAGGACGGAGCACTACAGAGTGTGTGCAGAGCGTGTTTTAGGAGACAAACTTTGTTTGCAGCTGCGCAAAGTCTATACTGTACTGCCAAGCTTTGCGCCTCGTCCAAAATTTGGTCGGCTTGTGCACACAATTGCATTGACATGAGGAGTTCGACCTGAAGAAATTGGAATGAGAACGGCTCCCGTAACGTGGAGTAAAACCAATCGAGTTTACTCAGCGTAACCGAAAACACCTCGAGAAAAACAAATGCAGGAGAGGCAAGAAGAGAAACCTCGATAATTTTTTGAAGACTGAATGGTACGGGTTCCCCCGGTGTGCATAAAAGAGGCGGAATAGAAGGCTGGCGATGTTCAAGGAGGGTTTTGACCGACATGTTTCCGACTCTAACTCAGGACGGTGAAAATGTGTTCCACTGAGCTAAAGTTGGCGTCAATGGATTACCGCTATGTCAACTTATTTAAATACAGCCCTGCACAGAACAAAAGAATATGGCAGAGACACCTGATTGACCGACATGTTTCCGACTCTAACTCAGGACGGTGAAAATGTGTTCCACTGAGCTAAAGTTGGCGTCAATGGATTACCGCTATGTCAACTTATTTAAATACAGCCCTGCACAGAACAAAAGAATATGAGAGAGACACCTGATATCTTGCAAGCATAAAACATGTGCCAATCAAGCCGAGTTCAGGTCTTTCTGACTACAAACCACGTACGAGTACATATTGGTTCACGTTTCCACAGCGTTCGGAGGGTGACAGATGGAAAAGGAGACCGAAACAAGTTCCTTAGAGAAAGTGACTAAAAACACAGCAATCAATACATTAGGGTCTAAGAATGGACGGATGATCATTGCAGCGTCACTCCCTGCAACAAACGGTTAGAACGCGAGTTTACTGAGTGGAAGGTTCAAACCCCACCTCTGCCCCTCGACTTCCCCTGTCTAGGCCTGGGCGACCTGGCAGTATCCCAACCCTCGAGCTTCCTTCAGGTGGCATGGCAGTTAGGCACCGAAAGGGTTCCACGGTTGTTCTCCATTAAGAAGCACGTACACGCAGTGTGTTGGAATCAGCTGTCACAACCCGATCCACCGAAAAATCGTGAAGGGGAGTCATGCACCAAACGCGACGGCCCAATAGGTTATCGTTACTGAGTTGTTCCGGCTGTGTGATGAAGCGCGAATTTAAACGCGTACGCATTTGAAGCAATTAGTAGGACACAGGGCTGTCGCCGATCGCGTGACAGAACCAAGCCTGTCATTAGCCGTCGGCGCATCGCGTCCCAAACGTAGTAGCCATTGAACTAACCTGTGAACATGACGGACGATCCGAGGTTCGAACCCGACTGCAACATCTCGACTGCTGTTGCCTAGGCTTGGGCAACCTGACGATATCTCAGCACTTATGATTCCCTCGGGTATCGTGACGATTATGCACCGAAAGGGTATTACAGCTGAACGATGATTTAGGGCAATCACCAACTTTTATTATTTAGAAAACGAATGATTCTGACCGAGTAGATGATCGTGACTGGTCAAACCGTACATACCAAAGCAAGCTGTGCTCGGACCGCGATTTGGGCAAGTCTGGCTATCCCACCCAGCGGGACATGTTGGTCGAAAACCGGAATACTCAGGTGGGAGAACGGTTCCACGTGGAACGTGATGGATGAGTTCGGAGGTGTCGAGGAGCTGTCAGCTGCGCCAGAAGTCTTGATAGTGGCGCTTTTCAGACGAGAAAGTGCGGATTGTACAACGTGCTGCAGAAGATCATGGCTAGTCACACAGTTGCCCCGGAGGCGTTCGACTTCAGCCTGGCTGGAAAACAGAAGAGTATGTGTAAGAAAAGTGGACAGACCAACTACAATGAAACGATGCTGGTCGTTAATGTAGACGGAAGAATGCGATGACCCAGTGGTTAGGTAGGACTTCCAAACAACTGGGTTGCTTTACTACACCTTAAACGTTTTGACAAATTTCGACGGATCCCAAAAGAATTGGCCTGAAATTCCAAGACTTTTTGTAGATACGTGCTAGACCAAATTTCAACCTCAGCTCTTGACAAATCTTTAAATAATGATAATGAGCTTCAAGGGCCTGTACGTTTGCTTTAAAGAAAAACAGCCAATTTGATTGGCGATTCCGTAAATGCGGCACCTCGACTGCTGGTCTGTCCAGATTGAGCGGTCATCGTAGCTTCTTCATCCGAGTTATCCTTCTCACTGGGCACTATACCGTAGCCCTTCTACTCGACTGTTCCACCGTTGAGATGCGAAGTGTGTGTGTGTGTGTGTGAATAGAAGGGTCACCGCACCTGGCTGTCAGGCAAACGGGCTATAAGATGCACGATCGTAGGAGCCACTATTCACCCATATGTTCGGGGATTGAAGCGATGTCTTTTAGGATCCTTTTGCATCAGGAATCGAATTCAACGTATACGGCACCCTGATCTTGGGGGCATCAAAACTACCCCCGAGAGTTGATTTCGCTATAAATCGTGGGCAACAAACAAACACTTGCTCATGAAGTAAGCCAAGCTTGAGTGTGCAGTATATCTACAGGAAAGCAGCTGAGTTTCTTTGCGCTATAAGATATTCGGGAGTGAAGCATGGGGATGCACACGTAGCGTGGAACCAGTCACGTCAAAGGTAGACAAGACTTACTAAAGTGCAGCTTCCCAGGGACAGCAAAGACGGAGTGCATTAACCAGACGATCGCACTGAGCCAAATCAACACCGGAACGCAACGCTTGCTCCAGTTCAACTTGTAGCCTGGCCTGATGAATTGTGGACTTTTCTGAAAAGCGGCAGATCACAGTCTCCACGCAGTTGGCCAGATTCAATGCTTCATTGACCGCACCCTTGGGGAGGAAAGTTAAACAGATTAACGAAATCTAGAACGAACTAGGAAAGTGCACAGTATACCGATTGGTTTGACAAGTTAGTCGACCATTTACATAGGTGCATGGGGAAAACGGAACAAGGTACTCAACAACAGACGGATTACGAGTGCCTGCAAAGTCATCAGCTGGACACTGTCTGTAGACAGCCTCGAAAAACGCTTCACCCAAGTATTTGCATGGTGGAAAGAATAATGAAATATACGATTGATGTAATGAGGTTCGGCGGCAACCGTGTTCTTGGCTAGCAACTCGGAGACACAAAACACCGGCAGATTTATCCGGGTCAAGTATTAAGCGGCGTTTTTGTTCGCAGTGTTGCATTCCATAGACAGCTAAGTCCAGCGCATACAGAATTCGGATAGAGCTGTACCATACGTCCGCGATGATAGCTACTACCCTTGTAAATCGGAAAGCGATCGGTGATGTGTGCAGGAAGAAGGGTAGACCCCGCCGCTGTTGTCCGGCGAAAGATCATCACCTTACAAAGGGACTTGTAAGGCTCGTCGGTTCATACCACTGATTGTGAAATCTGGTCTCCCACGTCCCAAACACAAATACAAAGCCTTGTTCAGCAGCATACGTTTTTGAATCGTAACTTCACTTAAACTCGTCCTTCAACTTTCATCAACCTCCAACACACCAGCCCCCTTTGCCAATGAAACACGAGTACCCCAATTTCGTTCAGTTCCGTCCCACACAATCACTTGCGCTCTAATGATGAGGTTTGTATGCACACTCATCTGCATTTCGTTGGCCTTCCATCGATTGTTACTCACGTTACTTCAAACGTTTTTGTTATGTAAACTGATCGCGATGACGCTGCCCACCTTTCTATTCATCGTCAAGTGTGAAAACAGGCTAGCGACCCAGCTGCTGAACTCTAGCCTGGCGGACTTCGGTGGTCATGTCTCTAGTTAGTTTGCTCAGCACACACAAGTGCAGTCGGCTATGAGTTAGAAGTATTCACAACCAACAGCATATCTCAAATTCTTTCGCTTCCTACCGGAATTCTGAGTCACAACGGCGAGTCACCGCAGACTCTAGGTGTCATTTTGACAACAGACCCTCATTAGACCACTGTCTCCATTGGCTCTGATGACTGATGAGTTGAGATATGTTCCAATCTCGTTTGGTTACCCATAAGGAGCCACCTCGCGGATTATTTGGGTTACCTGTCTACTAACTGGGACGGCGTGATGCCATCCTTTGGCTTTGATCCTGGATCCTACCCAAATGTCCTACGATTTCCGCTGAGAATCCCAAGTGCTCCAGTTCTTCTAAACACGAACTTTCAGATTTGGAATGTTTTAAACATGGTTATCTTTGTAAATAATCTTTCGGCCGTAACATCCTCTCAGTGCCTAGAAAAAAACATTCAGCTGTCGTAACCTTCCGGTACCTAACTGCCATGCCACCCGGAGGTTGCACGAGGGCTGAGATACTGCCAGGTTGCCCAAGCCTAGACAGGGGAAGTCGAGAGGCAGAGGTCGGGTTCGAACCACGGACCTTCCGATCAGTAAATTCGCGCTCTATCCACTTGGGCCATCCTGCCCATTCAGTGCCTAGCTGTCATTCCAGAGAGAGTACGGGATTGCTCAGACCTAGACAAGAGCAGTCAGTACAAACCACGAACCTTCCAGTCAGTGGCTTCGCGTCTCGAAAACGCTTATCCCTAGGCTCAGGCGTTAAATTATTGTGCGTGATTTACGTATCACCACTATCGAAGAAATTTAAGGATCTGTTCGGCGAACACATGACCACCCAACTGTCCAGCATATCAGCTGGGAGTGATTGCTTTTGGAAGGTTGCAAAATCACTCGAGCGAGATATCCTTGTCTCTTTCCTGTTACTCTTGTCCTCATTTCAATGCGGTTCTGAACTCACTCCAGCAGCTTTCAACACCGTTTTCTATCGCCACCATTTTTCAAGGAACTGTTTGTCAGTGGCTTCCACTGCTGACAACTCTGAATTGGATGGTATCTCTCTACTTTGGACTATATCTGTGCTCCAGGACTCGTTTCAACTGCACATCATCCCTTCCCTTAAGGATAACCTACGGAGGATATCCAGGAATCACGATTAGCACCCCAGTTGGAACATGATTACTGTGTGCGAACGGCGCCAGACGGTCTGTGTTCGAGGATGCATCTATAGCCTTTGCACAACCAAACGCAGGCCGCTGGATCGCAGAGTAATCGGGGATACACCGCCAGGAGAGCCGCTGGATCTCGGACTGATCTCACCCGTCCACTCCGTTGGGTCTGGTATTTGTTTGAGTTCGTTCCTATGTCCTATCTGCACATCCGCACGCGACTCGCAGTAAAGCAGGGTTCTATGGTCTTCAGGAACTGTTCACGCAGCACATATTCTGAAAAGTAGCCCAAATTCCCGTGGTACTTGACGTATCCACGATCACCGCAGCATGCTGTCGTCATCTGGCACACGTGGGATTTCGCAGCAGACCCGATTCCAAACTGATAATCCATGACACCGGCAAAACTCCATTAGCCCAGAGGCAATCGCTGTCACACCATAGTTAACACCGTCGCACCAAGATGGCCTAGTCTCCTTGATTTTTTCCACTTCCTTCGCCATAATCCTCTTTTCCTAAGAGAGATTACACGTACGTTCCATTCTCAAACACGCCTATTCAAGTGACCTAAAGGCATACTGCACTAATTCCAATATTCCTATCTTGTCCTTTCATGTTTCATCGACATCCACTATTCTAACAAAACGCCCCGACTGTGAGTGCTGCTGTTCCTACTAACCGCCCATATGAGTAGTATAGCTTTGGTGCATGAACGCCAGTGGATGCACAACGGACCGTCTGTCAACGGTCCCAACCTCCCGCAAAGCGTTTATCCAGAAAGGCGGAATGCGGCAACTGTCCGGATATCCCCTAGCAAGTTGTCACCTGGACGAAAGGGCTGCTCTGGGAAACCCAAGGATGCCAATTTTGTGGAACATCTCCATCACTTCTCACATACATCATACATATAGTGCTTTGACAGGAGTTCAATGTAAACTGTCATCAAAAGCTCTGTCGATTCGACCAAATAAGCAAGTGAGCCGCCACAAATGGTACAGAGAGGATAAACCCAACTAAAAGTGTAACGGTGTACATCATTGATGAAACATGCGAGTAGTGTCTGATTACGTGTCAAGGCACCGTCCTTACAACCAAGAGTCAACCGATGTCACTGGTGTTCTTGTTGTCAGTTTCTATCCAGAATGCCTGAATGAGTGTTTGGAGGTGTAAGTACCTAGGAATGATTGTAGTAAGCTAGCACCAAGTCCCTTCCCCATCCACCTTTATTCTTTTCTTCATAATAAGGTTTTCATATAAATCATGGTTGTACGGCAGTGAAGCATCGGTGTTGAACACTGATGTCAATGATGGTGATGATGTCTTACATCCAATGGAAAGCTGGTACGGAAATCACAGAACCGCTTCGGAGAGTTTGTGCCCTGCTTAAAGAACGTCCAGAAAAGTCCAAGAGTACGTTTGAAAATGTCCATTTTTTCAAAAACCCTGTGCCAGCGAGATTCCTACCCTTGTGTCTAACAGCCTGTAACCGGTTAGTTTGTGGTGGTCAATACACAACTCCACACTCGAAGGCGCTCTTCCTTTCAAGAGCACTTCATGAAAGTTTGTAACACAATTACTGGGATCAGTAGTACGTCAGTCTCACGCAGAAATACTTTGAATTCGCGAGCAGATCAAACAAGAACCATGACTCACTGCGGCGCTGAACTCTTTGATCATACCGGCAAACGCGGTGGACAGGACCGCATCCGACATCGGACAAGGTTGTAGACAATCTGCATTGATGACGCACTGTAGCAGAGCTGTGTATAAGATTCTGCATCAGAAATCCCGGGTGGAGAGTAGACAAAAAGAGAAAAGAAAGGAACGAAAGAAAGATCACGAGATACATGATTCGGGACTAGACGGATTAAAACAGTGGAAATGGATGGATACTGGTGAGATAGCCCACAGAAAAGAAACTGGTGATGAATATGACCGTAATTCCTCCAACCTTAGGGGATCATGTGAGACAAAGTGATTGGAGGTGTAGACCAACGGGCGTGTGGACAAATTCCCCTGAGGGGTTAACTGACGTTCTAGCGGCTCACAGTCGCACACACTGAACATCAACCGAATCTCGCTCCATTCCGCCAACAGTATAGGCCCTCACTATCTGCACAGAGTGAAGTTGATCATCGGCAGCGGCAACCCACAGAGGTAGCCCGTCTTTCAAAAAGAACCAGTTGCCGCACGAGGTGGAATCATGACGTAAATGTTCTTTAGTGTAGCCTTCAGGAGCTACCACATCGATAGAGTTTTGTTGGCCACTTGTCGCTGCTCCTTCGTTTTCTGGCGAACCCGCTTCGCTAATCCTGATCACGAACCATCCACATTCTGCCACGCAACTGCGCAATTACCGGACACATCAGTGCTACGATATATTCGCTTAATTGGAACAACAAACGAAAAATCGTTGACCCCACCCATACCAGTACATCTAGGGGGTCGCAACAAAACACAGATCACGTGACCACAGTCGTCCGTATACCTTCACTGTCACTAACGAGCACCAGTATTGTGCTCCAAACGTAACCGATTAGGAAAAATTCAATTTCTGGTCGAACTGCGGTCAGACGGGCATAGCCCGGGTTCAGAAGGGAATTTGTCCCTTTTGGGAAGCTGAAGTCATTACGATCTTCCAGTCCCACCTGAGAAGTGCTATGTTTTGCTCACAGGTCCTATGGTGAAGTTCATAGGACAGGGGTAAATTAGTCCCTTCAAGATTGACCCTATTTAAAGGAGGTCGAACAATGTACTGAACTCAAAAAAATTACTTACGGGTAGCCATAGAGTGACCACAGTGTAGCTATATCTAGCAGACACATTGAAAAACAGGCCGGGAGCATTGTGACAGGCGAGTTGAAGTAGAGAAGGAACAACCTGTAGATCGATGGAAAACAAATAAAAACAGAGAGTCATCCAAATTCATACAAAGACAAGGGTCACGCGAATGTTGCGAGGTATCCAAATGACGAGAATATCGAAGTATACATGAGCATACAGTGGGCACCGTCGAAGCGATATCTGCCAGCTGCTAAGATGTTTGCTTTCAGCTCAAGGAGGACGGCTCAGAAGAAGCAAACGACTTGAGCTTCTCGCGCTACCCCTCATGTGTCCGGCGTACTTCTGCTCAAGCAGTCCTCATAAGGTGTCCTAACAACCAATACATGAGGTCTTTCAAAAGGTGGCGCTTGACTGCAGACGTGAACCCAATGACTAAACGAAAAATCTATCGGTATTGTTTTCTTTTAGGTTCCAGATCCAGAAAACCCACTGGGTAAGACCCAAACTAAGTTACCGGAGGGTTTGTGGTTTGAACCCAATCTCTGTATCTCGACTGTTGTTGTCTACTCTTGGGCAACTTGGCTGTGTCTGTCTTCGTGCTTGCTTTAGTTAGAATGAAGGCTAGGCGCCGAAAGAGTATTACAGCGAACAATAATTTGTTATCAGTATTATTATTAGTAATAATCATCTGCTGACCCACCACTCAATTCACCCAACAGACGACAGTACCTGGGAGAACAGTTCAATCAACATTGCGTAGATACATGCTCCTTTTCTTGAAACGAGCAAAAGTCGGAAAGTCTTGATGATGCTTTGAGGGTGCACAGCTTTCCGTATCTTCCATGAGATGATTAGTTTTTGAGAGACTGCGTAGACAGGGCTTTCGACACTAGATTCGGACCGAATGGTAGTGCGCCCGATCGAAGTATCAGCTCATTGAGTACCACGTGATTGTCTTTGGAGGGTGTCAAGTGGTTAAGCCTATCGTCGCCACCATTCCGCTGTGCACCCTTTCGGTGCATAGCTGCTAAGGAAGCACGAGGGCTGAGACACTGTCGGGTTGCCCAAGCCCTAGGCAGAAGCAGTTGAGATGCCGGGGAGGGGGTGTTTGAACCACGTAACTACCGGTCAGGAAGTTCGCACCTTGACCACTGAGCTATCCCGGTGAAACCTAGGTGCATACAGATGACCGTAGGTGAGCACGGCTTCTAAATAGGTCGAGCTGTGAACTGAGGTCAACCAGGTTTAATGTGTGACCGAAAGAATGTGCCGATCACTAGGCCGCACATGTGACACTGGTCAGTTAGGACAAGTTTGGACCGAGTATGAACCACCTATGCACGTCACATGATTATCCTGAATTCCCTTTTGTTTGTTGGTCCCCATGTATTGCATCGCTGAAGGTATTTTCAACATGAGCGTAACTAGTGGATAGATTCTACGTCCCTCATCTGTCCGTCATAAACGACCAGTCAAATCACAAGACGTGATTAGGCTTCAAGTGTTGGGAAATTTTTTCGAAAATACATTTACTCGATAACCGAAAAGTGCACTGTATTGCAAAAAAGACGGCAGAGTGCTTCAAGGGTAAGAAAATACGGAATGAAGATGAGTTGGAATCAGCCTGGCTTGTCTTCTACTGTGCTCAGAGCAGCCTTAGGTCGACGGCTGGAGTCCAGCCCTGGGGGGCTGTCCTTTCGTCCATGCTAATTGTTCTTGTACTTTGAATTTTAAAACATACGGGTGACCCATGAAAACGTTAGTCAAAGAGCCATGTGCCAAACCCTTCTACGCCCACCTGACACGTGAGAACAAAATGAGCCACAAAAAGGCATTCTAAGTGCGTAGCATACTGCTAGGTTTCCCAAGCCTAGACAGGAACAGTCGAAATACTGGGGGTTAAGTTCAAACAGCGGATCTTTCAGTCCGTAAGTTCGCGACGTAATCACTTAGCCATTTCGAGCTGCTTCCAAATAGGGACGAATAAGCCAGGCAAACACTCAATGAGAAAGTAACCTCAATCTTTGAACAGTGTTGGTGGGAAGTCAGCTGGATCGATAAAGTACAACAAGTTGGTCTTCCAGTGGATCAAAGTAGAACAAACTATCTTGAGAAAGATAAAAAAGCGATCAGTTGATATGTTTCACCAAGAACTTATAAAGGACGTAAAGTTAAACAGAAAATATTCACCAGTTCGGCTGCCGTGGCACTGTGGATGACACATAGACTCGTGACGTGAGCCCCATAGGTGGAATGTGATAACAATTCACAGTGACAATCTTTCGATTGAAAAGTGCAGTCGCCAGATAAAGGATGATATGCAGCGGTTGAAAGAACAAATCTCAAGAGTTAATGAAATAACTTACTCAGACGGTGAAGCTCCTGAATCTACCATACTCCAGAACTTTGTTCGTAACTCAGTCATGGTAACGTGCTGACCGGAAAAAGTGGATAAAGGGGGCTTTTATAACGTAGTCCGTAAAGGATAAATTAGCTGTAAGAAGATATAAGAAGTGCTTCAAGATGTGCGATGGCTAGCGACAAATATAATCATTATCAGCTGTGAAAACCGCGTACTTGTCGTACAGTGGTTGTAGCTGCTACAGTTTCGTTCACCGATGATTCGGGGAGGTGGGGTAGGTAGCTGTGCATTGGAAGCGGGAGCTGATAAATTAGTGCGTAAATACAGGACTTTAGGTGGACTTTTAAATGGGAGGATTGGGAACGGAGCTATGCATTGAAGGCAATAGCTTGGATGCTTGGGGGCGCGACTGGGCCATATCTGACAATGTCTCCAGCCATTGGTGTGGCCCGTCTCGGGGTCCCCATTCAGGAAGACGGTAGCGACCAGCGCAGCTGGGTTTGCTGGTAATGGCTTTTATACTTCGCTGTAAAGTCATTGTTTGGCCGCCTCTGGCTCTCTTCCACCCTTCACGTGGTTGTGCGAAAAGAGCCCTTCGAGGAAGTCGGTCGACTGACATACGCAGCACGTGGCTAAGAGCCAGCGCAACCTATGCAGTGTGATCAGTTCATCTAACGAGGGTGAGTTATTTTTCCCAAATACCACTCGACGAACTTCAGCATTGCTGATCCAGTGTTCCCACAGTATAATGAATCAAAATTAATCGTTCAGCTGTACCACTCTTTTAGTGCTTCAGTTCAGTCAGTCGAGGTGAAGCGAACACCGATTTATTGGTTCACCTTTGACATGCACGTAAGTTTGGTCAGTGGCTGCCTGGTTGTAGCCATTTCCCATCACCAGAAAATGGAATGACTGTGTGTAGTTGACGGAGCACGCTGTTTCTAAGGTTGCGGAAAACTCTTCGATAGCCCATAACCGGTTTCACCCTTCTTGGGGTTCACCATGTGGGCGCAGTCCATAGCATAAACCAAACATTCAGGTAGGATTCGGCTGAGTATCGTGTCAACATCAACCTAGCTCAAAACATGATTCAGACGGTTACTCTGCAAATGCGCGCTAAGTTTACTTGCTTGTTCATATATGTGCAACTGGGAGTATGTTCTCTCTGATGGTTCCCCCAGGCCGGTAGGGATGATGATGACCAAAGATCATCTTTATGCAGCGTGTAACGTGTGGTGAGACAAAAGATAATCGTTTGGCTGTAACACCGTTTCGTTGCCTAACTGCCATGCCACCAGAAGGAAGTACGAGGGCTGGGATACTGTCAGCTTGCCCAAGCCTAAACAGGGGAAGTCGAGATGCAGAGGTCGGGTTTGAACCACAAACCTCGCGGTCAGTAAATCTGCACTATAACCACTGAGCCATCCCCCGTGAGACTAAGAAGTCCATATCGAGATTACCGAACGAGAGAACTTACAATTGTTGCTCTACATAGAAATCGCGTTAAGTTAATCCCTCGAAACATAATTTAACAGTACAGTGGGGGCGAGGTGGCTCAAGTGGTTAGAGCCTCTCGACTCCCCCTGTCTAGGTTTTGGCAACCTGGCACTATCCCAGCATCGTGCTTCCTTTAGGTAGCATTGCAGCTAGGCACCGGAAAGGTGTTACCGCTGGACGATTTAACAGTACAGTCCTTCCAAGAAGAGTCCACTATTTGGCGGTTCTTTTTATGCTTTCTTGAAAGAATCTGCACTTTGGTATACGGCTACAACATTGTGAAACAGCCTGCTCTGTCTTATTTAGAAAGTTGAAGGTGAACAACACGAAAAATGCTGACACGATTCACGGTAATTACCGAATCCGAAAACTTACTGGCATCCGATTGATAATTCGCTGTGGAATTTGACTATCGTAGCGAAAGGATGCCGTGTCCGTGTTCAGAAGACTGTGAGTTATCTGCAAAACAATGGAGGTTGCGTTTCAAGCATTCAGTGAATTTCGTCAGACAAGCAAACGTCTGTTTGGATCACATAACAAAAGTCCGAACGGAAGCTGAATTGCACTTGTTCCTGTGGGCGAGATGGATTCAACCCACGTGGTACCACATGGAGTAATCCTTCTAAGAGAACGCACTTTAAAAAAATGCTATTAGCATTGAGGACTTCAGTTCAGTCCAGTTTGGCCGTACGAACCGTATAGGTTCGTACGGTGGATCGTTGCAGCTTCCGGAAGCGATAGCAAAGTAAAATATGAATAGATTTTGGGGAAAACAACAAGAAGGAACAGAAGTTGAAGGACTGAGAACTGCCATATCGATGAGTACCCCCAATCAGTGACTGGGGTGGGGAGGCTTTGATAGCCCGACCCTGCAGACGACAGTTAACAAAGTAGCCAAAACCCTTTGCTAGGATTTTCAGGTCATGTGCTGTCCGCCTTGTCGTACCTTCCAGTCGATACAGGCCTCAGCAAACCGCGCCCGGCGAGACAATCGATCATGCGGCATACAGAGCACACAGCCGAGTGTGTAGCTGGTACAGTCGAAACAAACCATCAATTGGGTAACCAATTGATTTGTTGCCAAAAACATTTGTAGCACTTCAGCATTGTCAATCCGATGTTCCCATGTTACATGTACAATGCTTCGTCAAGCAACATTGGACGCGTTGTAGACCCTGTCTTTAAACTTACAAGGCTAAAACCAAATCGACGTCGAATTGATCCTTCGATATTAGTACTGCATGTTCACTTTTTTTCTGGGTAGGAGGTGGGAATCGACGCTACGAACAGACGGGGTTCTAGTGGCATGAGAGTTGACGGTAAGTTGGAGAGATTATCCAGTGCTACTAAGTTGCGTGAGCAGATGATACTTCCCGGTTGCCTAGGTCGAAGGGGCTTTGTTTGATGTACCTCACCTTGAGCCTTGGACTCGAAAGTCTGACCCACAATGCAGTGGAATGAGCCATATTTTTGTTTCGGGGATCTGCTCGTAGCCTTTGACTCGAAAGTATGACTCGCGAGACGATAGGTATTAAGATTCCCACGGAGAACCCTACCCAGAGCCAATGACCCAATAGTTTGAATCGCTTGGCCACTGGACTAGCCTAGCCCGATGGCGCAGGAACTAAGGGTTAGTTGTCCCACTCCACATACCACTGTACACAATAGATGCGCGTTTGAAACCGCATCGGGCTCTTAGTGGGTTTTTACTGTACTTCCACCATATTGGGCAATCCGCCCGCAGATACGGTCAACCGTTGGGCGATCGGAGTGTGCAGTGTTTAGAACTGATGACTTCTAACCCGTCCTTCCTGGGACAAAGGCGATGGACTTTCAGCAACCTTATGAGTAGTACGTTACAAAGAACTTTTAGCCGGTTTATCCCGTGGAATCGTTATCAAATTCACGCTCAACCACTGTATCAAGGTGACAGCGATTAGCCGACATAATGAGAGGCTAAGTCTTCAACACCGTATGATGTCCTTTTTTTTTTTTTTGGGGGGGGGGCGTCATTTTGGGACTCTACCTTCTGTAAAATAGAGGGAATTTTTAAACCAAATCTCGAATCTGGCAGTCTATGGTGGAAAGTGGCACAAGCAAACACATGAATAGCGCATCTCCGAGTAGTGTTACTCCTACTAAGAAACTTGTCTACAATAAAAAGACTTTAAGACCCACTACATTTCGCCATTCACCCATTTCACGGCATACTCCAAAAATTAGTCCAGCAATGACAGCGTGTTTGAGGACCGTGGTGTATCATAGCGACTTCGTTCGGTGAGACGGGAAGTGGGTCGCTCTGACTGTGTCCATCAGCGAATTTAACGGTGAACAACGAACATCATTCGATCACAGAGCACAGCAGTTTCCGGAATGGCCGAAAACCCGCAAAATGCCTTAAAACGTTCTTCATAAGTGTGATTCAATGAAAAAGCAATAAACCACATTGAAAATACCTTCAAATGATTCAGTGATGCACCTGATTCACTTTCCAACGATTTCTTCAGGGCTTCCTTTTCCAAACATTTCCCGCGAAGCCTTAAGCGGAGAAAGACAAGCAAATGATGTGAACCCATAGGGGAAAATAAATGAAGGACAAACAAGCTGAAATAATTACACATGCTCCAGCGAGTCGCGCGCTCCGTAAGTGTTAAACAACCCGTGAAGAACACAGCAGACGATACGGGATGCAGAGACACAAATACCGCACATTCCAATCACTGGATCTCACACTGGATCTTCACACCTCCCCGAGTTCAACCAAGGACGTGTGTTAGGGCTAGTCTTGACAGCAACCGTGCTGTTAGTTTTGTCAAAACTGTTTGAGTAACAGCTGGGAAGCAAGTGTACGGCACAACGCGTATGGAAGGCTGGTCCCCTCCATAACATAACCAAGCGATAACTGCAAGCCATACGAGCATTCCAAATAAGTTCAGCGTTGATCGACTACCAGTTCGCATTGCATAAGTAGACAACCACACGGGTTGGTGAACTTCTAACCTTGAGGCCGCTGCGGTTTTGCAACTGCTACTCCGCCCATATATTCACTTTGATTCAAAAATCCACTTGGGGTAAAGACACATTGCCGACATTGTCTACTTCCATACGTTCTCCGCAGGACTCAGTAACAAAAACAAAAAAACAAATCGTTCAGCTGTAGCGCCCTTTCGGTGCCTAGCTGCCATGCCACCCGAAGGAAGCACGAGGGCTGGGATACTGTCAGGTTGCTCAAGCCTAGACAGGGGAAGTCGAGTGGCGGAGGTCGGGTTCGAACCACGGACCTTCCGGTCAGTAAATTCGCGCTCTAACCACTTGAGCCATCTCGCCCCAGGACTCAGTAGTTGAAACATGAGTCCCTAACCGGAAGGTTTGTGCATCATATCCACTCCCTGACGTGTCGACCACGGCTGTCCTGAGCGGATCAAACATTCTTATGACAGTATGGCACAGCAGCTAAACAGCTCATTAAAAATATTTTAAAAATCGTTCAGCTGTAACACCCTTCCGGTGCCTATCTGCCATGCCACCTGAAAGAAGTAAGAGGGCTGGGCCAGGTGGCCCAAGCCTATACAGAAAAAGTGGAGAGACAGAGGCCACGTTCAAGCCAGGGACCTTTCGGGTCAGTAGATTCGCACCCTATACCAATTGGTCCATCTCGCCCCCCAAAACAGCTCATATTCAAGCTGCTAAACTATGCTTGAGTAGACTAACCTACAGGTTTTAAAACAACACTTTCCGTCAATAATAATGATAATCGTTCATCTGTAGCGTCCTTTCGGTGCCTAGCTGCCATGCCACCCGAAGGAAGCACGAGGGCTGGAGTACTGTCAGGTTGCCCAAGCCTAGACAGAGGAAGTTGAGAGGCAGAGGTCGGTTTGGAACCACGGACCTTCCGGTCAGTGAATTCGCGCTCTAACCACTTGAGCCATTCGTCACCCACAAACCGATGCACGTCTCCCACAAAGATACTGTATCATTCAGGCGGGAGAGACAAAAATGACCCTATTCACATAAATGTCCTGGTGGCGGGGGTAGCCATACACTGAGCGTACTAGTCCGCGTGGATCAAGTGCAGTCGAGAGACCAACGAATGACATGAAGAGGCCATGTGGTTCAGCCTGAGTTTGATAACAGTGAGCAAGCGTTTTTAGAAGTGATCCAAACGAATTCTTACCAATGACCGAACGACAAATGCATATTGGCTGAGGCGACTGCCATGTAGGCACAGGTATTTTTCAATCCCTTATCCGACCATTCTGAGGCCATCCGTGTTTCAAAGTACGAACAAAGATTATCCACTGCTTCGGAAATATTTCGCTTTCGAATTGCCAGTAAATGCGCGGCATAATACTACAACAGTAGAAAAAAACGAGTTTATGCCAGTGATGGTACAAAATGTAAGGCGACAATTAATAATAACAATAATAGTAGTAATAATAATAAGTAACGGTCCCGCTCCGTAGCACCCTTTCAATTCAGAGTTGTCACGCAACCCAGAAGAAGCACGAGGGCTGCTCAAGCCTAGACAGGAGTAGTCGAGATGTCAGGGTTGGATTCGAACCACAGACCTTGTGGTCAGTAAATCTGCACCTTAACTACGCGTCTGTCTCCAGCAAAGAATTGCTTCTGAGTATGTCGTTCGCAAGATGTTCCTTGTGAATGCGTCAGCTCAGGAGTACCGCTGTCAAGACCTTTTGTACTTCAGACCTGAATAATATTCTACACATTTCGGGTATGACTTGCTTTAAAATTAAGGACAACATACCGGTCCAATGCTCCCGAATGGCGATGTGCTCTTACGACAAGTCATATATCCGCAGGGATCGAAGAACACCTGTCAACTCATACTACATCAGGGACTGTCAAAGCCTATCTGAGTGCTAGCATTGATCACTTGATTAGAGCTGGTTGTGTGGGGCGAGATGGCCCACTAACCGGAAAGTCCGTGGTTCGAACCCGACCTCTGCCTCTCGACTTCCCCTGTCTAGGCTTCGGCAACCTGGCAGTATTCCAGCCCTCGTGCTTCCTTCGGATGGCATGGAAGCTAGGCACCGGCAGGGTGCTACAGCTGAACGTGTGGTAAACGAAGACGAAATCGCAAGTCGTGTTTTATCAAGCAGATCCAAGACAAGCAATAAACAATGGACGTCCTCCATAGCTGAAGAGGTAGTGATCCGTTTGGTCAATCCGTCTCTGTGTTTCGTCGAAGATATTAGTCTAAGCATCCAAACTTACCCGGCCAACAACTAGGTTCAAACGTGCACACACACGCACTCCCCCAGTTGTTTCATTCAACACTAGTCCATCCTAGATTGGACGTCTTTAAAACGTTGCGCCAGATTATGGTATTGCTTTACATGGTATGCGAATGCTGGCCTGCTGGAGCGCTTCGAAAACATGTTTTTGTCAGTTCCGTGTTCGTAACGAGCGATGGCCGTCTTATTAAATAGGAGGGAATGTGGGCGATCATTTGTAAGGGCCCCTCGTATGTCATTTATAGTCGCCCATTTACGTCATTCCCCGAATTCATTAGTTAATAGATTCTAGAATCCTAGTTGGCACAGGTAAGTCGATACGAATACAAACAATGCACGGATAACCATCACTGCTAACTTAAAAAAGAAGCATATATCAGGAGGTGGGATTTCTCCCACTAATCGTTCGAAACCCAAACTAAGAAAAACAGATGAAACAAGAGTGAGATGAGGTACAGTATGAACTTGTATAGGGTTCACAGCCGATGGTAATGATGTTCAGAGCTCACAACGGATCCATAAACCGTTGGAGGTGAGCCTTAACTTTGACGGTGCTAGAAGTATTAAGGTAGCCTTTTCTCAGCGAAAACCCCACCAGGGAGCATCCAGCACTCCCCGAAGAGAAATTATTCTGCATTCTTGGGCGAACAAATAAACGCTTTTGCGTCTTCATGAAACGGTACATTTCTAAACCAAAATATCTGATTCGGGTAGCTAGTGCTGAACATAACAACCATCGTGTCAAGTAACGAAGTAACGTTTACCACAGGCCTCAAAGAAATTACTGAGAAGGTGACCACACGCAAAGACGCCTATTACACAAGTCTCAAAAGATCAAATGAAATCGTTTGGCGGCGAAAATTTTCGGTGCATCGCTGGCATGCAACAGAAAGCAGACATGAGGGCTGAGGTACTGGCCACCGAAGCCTACGCAAGATCAGTCAATGCACCGTTTGAACCGCGAACTGTTCGGCCAACGGTTTGCGTCGGTCTAGGCTTGGATGATCTGGCAGTACCTTAGCCCTCGTGCCTCCTTCGAGTGGCATGGTATCTAGGGTGTTACAACTAAACGATTGTTACTAGTTATCAACAACCATAGTGTGATTCAGGACCTCTCCCCTCCTTGAGATCCGACCAAAGCCCGAAAAGGTCAGCTAGTGTGCTATCTGTCTGGATGTGTCAATAAAGCGGGCCATTAAGTGAAAAACGGGCACTAGCAACGAAGACGCAAAGACGGAAAGTGTCGGTGGTACTGACGCTGACACGAACGACTACGATGAATACAAATGCATTAATATTTGGGCCATTCATAAACCGGCAGCATGTGAGCGTCAGTACATTTCTGTTCTGCATGCCCTCGACTGAGTTTAGAGCTCCTGAGTGCACGGTCGAATGTAGACCCACCATGACAGAAATTTCTCATATGTTTCGATAAAGTACGGCACGAGTCCGTGCACGATATTCGTCTAGAAAATGGGGACTGTTGAAACCTTGGGCCTAAAAAATACTATTTCTTGCGATCATTTGCCACACGGCTTGTCCAGAATAGCGACAGTGAGGTCATTCATTTGGGAATGAATGAATCAATCATCCAATCACTCTTTGAGTCGTAACACCATTTCGGTACCTAGCTGCCATGCTACCCGATGAAAGCACGAGAGCTGAATCGCTGCCAAGTTTTCAGAACACAGACAGGGGTACATATGTATGGACTGGGTCCGAACAACCGATCATGTGGTCCATAAGTCCACGTCTTAATCACTGAGCTCCCCCGAGCTTGAGACTGAAAAGAGGAGTGGAATAAGATATTGTGAGCTAAAAGACATCAAAAAAGCGTCTTATGGTAAGTGTTGCAATTACCGGAGCGGGAAGTTCGGGGAAAAGATTTTTACACCGAGAAAATGTCTCGTCTAGTTCCTTCGTATCCAAACCAGGGCGTCCGCCGAGCTGGCCCACAGCGCTAGATATTTGTAAAGCCGTTTCTGATGTATGCGTCCGCCTATCGACACGGACGAGCGAATGTTAGCGAAAGCACGTAAAGCTTACGTAGAAGAGTTCAAGAGCTGCAAGTTACATGAATTCTGCAGTGGAAACGGGTATTTTATCCGCTTAAAACTTGTCGCCTTGTCATAAGCCTTCAAAAAAGAATACTTGAATTTGCACATCTCCTCGAAGCTTTGGTGGTGAAATCCAAGTGCGAATTTGCGTAAGAACAGACCTTAGAGAAAAGGAAACTGATGTTGACGAGAAATTGATGTTACCAAAAACGCTGTCTCTTGTAAGAAAGAACCCGTCGTCTTCGTCCAGAGAGACACTACTGGATAATAGCAACGTCTTCACATCCGAAGGATGTATATAGTTGACGGCTTCAAAGCT